GTCAGCCCCGCGCCCACCGCCCGGTGCGCGGCGGAGAACAACCCAGCCCCGGTCCCCGCGCGGCGCGTCCCCGCCTGCCGCTTTAAGGCCCCTCCCGGGCCCCGCGGCGGCGGCGGGCGGAGGAGGGGGCTGCTGAGCGGCGGCTGCCGGAGCCAACGGGCGGCGGGGAGGGGGGCGGGCGCTGCGGGGGTGTCGGGTTGGGGCGAGGCGTGACCCAGCTGACGGGCGCCGTGCGGAGCCGCCGGGGCGGGCGCGGAGCCGGGCAGCGGCGAGCAGCGCACGGCGGCGGCGGCGGCAGCAGCGGGCGGCGCGGCGTCTCCCCGCCCCATCTCCTGTGAGCCTGGGGAACCTGCAGCTCCGAGCCGCCGCCAGCCACAGCACCATGTACGCCGGCAACAAGCGGAAAAAGCTCTGGCGGGAGGAGAAAGGTACCGGAGCCGCCGTCGCCGCTGCCACCGCCTTCCCCCGCGCGGCGCCGAGCCCCGCGCCCCCCGCGGGCCGCCCCGCGGCGGGACAGGCCGCGCGCCCGCCGCTCCCCGCGGCGTCCCGGCCGCGCGCTGCCCCCCGGGGCTCCCGCGCGGCGCCTCGCACCTTCCCCCGCCCCACCGCCGCCCCCGCCCTAACGGCCCTAACGGCCGCCGCGCGACCGTTGGGGGGCGCGGGCGCGCGCGGGGCGAGGGGGCGCTGCCTGAGCTCCCCTCGCAAACTCCACCGTTTTCCCTTCCTTCCCTCCATTCCTTTCCCAAGCTCCTAAGTGTTGGAGGGATTGCAGCGCGGGTAAGTGACCGGGCTCGTGGAGAATCCCTGCTGCAAAACTACTGTGGGACCCCCCTCCCCCCCGCCCCCGGTGTTCCCGATGGGAAAGGAGGTGAAGTTGTGCTGGCTGGGAMTGCACACGCATAACCCAAACACACCCGTGCTTTTCGTTAAGGTGTGCGGCTTCTGCTGTTCGTGGGGCAAAACGTGGCTCCTCCTCTGTGCCCTGCCACGGGAGATGCCCAGGCCATAGTCCACGTGCTGCCGCGGCGCCCAGGAGCCCTCCTCCCACCAAAGAACTTTTCCCTTCACCCGCTCCGCGCCAGTTTCACCTTGTTTTTACAAGCCAAGGCCAAACAGGGAAGTTGACATCTCCGGGGCAATGTTTTGTGCTGACCTTGCTGTTCTGGTCTGATGTATTGACCAGCTGGGAAGCAAGGTGGTTGGAAATGCAGTAATTCAGCCTGCAGGAATATGTTACTGATATCAGCTAGAAGAAATAATTTTGAGAAAACTAATGTTGATTTGGCCTAGAACCCCTACAAGTGATTCAGATTTGTGAGGTTAAAGAGAAAAAAATCTCAGGTATGATATGCGGGTGTATTTTATTTTCCTTTTTGCTTTTTTCCCCCTTCCATCACCTGAGATAGATGCCCTTGAAATCAAGAAGACAAAAGACCTACTCATCCTCTTTGTCTGTGGCAGAAAYCAAATGGTGCAGCTCTAAAGAAAAATACAAAAGTGCAAGTAATTAGTAAACAGGCCAGCTTCTGTAAAACGGAAGTCTGAAAGTGAGTTTTGTTGCCCGTTGTTTTCTTCCAGAACTATCTTGGAGAGAGTTTTTCTGTATTTCAGGTGAGAGGGCCAATTTCTACCACTCAATTAAGTTTGGGTGTTAAGCAACAGAAAAGTTTCAATTAAGTCACCTCAATGCACTTATATATGGATAAATGTTTGTATATATGCCTAGCTGTTATTCTGGAAATTTTCAATGCTGTTTGTTGTTACTTTCTAGAATACTGCCCTTTCTTTGCTAGGGACAGGTGAGGAAGGGATTATGGCAGGTTCTGCTCAGTGTTTCCTTCCTTCCCTTTTGCCTCTTCCACTTCAGGTGATTGCGACTGGCTCATGCAGACAAGTGTGGATTCAGATCAGTGGAGCCCTCAGTTAGGAAGGGCTGAACTGCAGCCTGGCAAAACTCTGGTGCAGGCGGGTGTTGTCACCTTCCTTGTGTTCTGTGCGAATCGTGGTCTCCACCGGCAYGGTGGAAGCTGTCACCTCTAGGCAAGGTAGTGGTAGAGAGCTCGAATTGCAGACCTTGCCAGCAGTGAGGTTTATTTCTGGGCAGTGGAGCACGTCTCTGACTTCTAGCTAGCCAGAACTTAATACCCTGCTTGCCTGGCGAGTGTGAACAGTGTTTGCTGGTCTTCTTCCCCTGGCTGCTTCCCAGCGTTGCGCTGCTGGAGTTTGCATTTTAAGTGAGGAAAACTTCTACATTCTCATTTGCATTGCTCTTTGGTCTGTAGCCTTCTGTGACTGTTCTTAAAAAGTATTTTCTTTACTACCTGTCACAACATTSGAGGCCCACGCTTCCTCCCCTCTTCCCAGATTCTGCTTGAAAACAAATGCTATAGGTCTGGCTTTGCCAATCCCAAGGGTTCTCAGCCTGTGTAAAACTAACAGCACCTGCAAGCTCTGCTCACYCCATGAAGCTCTAAGTACAGGAGTCATTTTCAGCCTTTTGTATTGTAAAGATCTTTTTTTCTTTAGAAAGAGACGAAAAGAAGAGGTGCAGCTTGCTAAATATTGAGTTCAAGCCCACTGACAATAAGCATGCTTGCCTTAATTACTTCTGTGGTAATTAAGAAATGGTCCACATTCTCCCGGGGTGGATCTTGTTTGAGAACCATTGAAACAGAATAAGGACAGAACTAGTGCTAGCTGCAGAACCTTACAACACAAGACTGGTTTGTCTGCAAACTTTGAAAGCACTTCAGTAATCTACACGCAGGAGAATACAGTTCTTGGAAGCAACTTCTAGGAGATTTGTGTGCACCTAAAACTCAGATTAAAGTCTCACTGCAGAATAGCCAGATTCAAGTTTTATAAACCCTTCCTGTAGAGAATAGCTTGTTTTCTCTGAAGGCAGGGTGTTGACTCTGAGCCCTCTTCAGGAGAGGGTAGTAAGGGTTTTCTGTGCTSCGTAGTCCTTGAGAGCTGGTCCATGCACATGTGCACATGCACACTGTGCCTGTCTTCAGATCTGTAATACCTCGTATGTGCACACTAAATATCTTGTATTTTGCATGCTTGAAGATCAGACAGGGGAGCTAAGTGCATATCCATTATGCATAATGGCAGTTGTAATAACAGTAGTTCTAGTTTTGTAAATATCTAATTAAGATACTAAGCTTGAATAATGAGAGGATTTTTTTTTGTGTGTGTGTTAAGTGAACTGGAATTCAAAAATATAAGTGTTTATTTTAGTATGGGAGTCTGCTGAGGATCTGCCTTGAGTTCTTTGACTATACTGATTACAGTCTGCACCATTAGAAAATGTCTTGTTAAAAAAACTAAAAGCCCCTTTTTTGGGGGGAAGGGGAAAATTTGATTGGAGGGGCAGTTTCCATATGCCACTCCTTCAGTATTCCTTCGGCTTGGGCTGAAAATACTATTGTTCTTTCTGTCCACGTAGTCCTGAGCCTGAGAAGCCAAATATAGTATTAGTCCAACTTTCTTCAGACAGCCCTGAAAATACTTTAATTGTCGAGTATTGATGATTAATGTGTTAAAAGAAACTGTTACTATGGCTCAGCTGTGATGCCACTGCCAAAATGGTTCCAGACACTTCATTGGTGCACAAGATGTGCCCTGCTGTCTTTCCCTCCTCCCTCCTTATGGAAGGAAGCATCTTGTGTGAAGCTAATACTAAGCATTAAAAAAAGAAAAATGCAGATTGCGTTCCTCTGAGCATATTTGTCCTGCTTGATGAGATGTGGGAAGTAAGTGTGCTTGTGACTCTAATAAAATCAAATAAATAGAGTGGCTTCTTAAGCAGTGAATGGGGTTTAGCTGAAGTGGATGGGAATAGCAGTTGTGGTGGGGCTTGTTTGCAGTGTTGGGTCACTGGTGTTTTTTCCTTACCTTAGAGCTAAGCTGGTTTATAGCAAAGTCTGAAGAAGAGTGAAGTTGGCAGTAGCTGTCATAATTGTACAAACTATGAGGCTTTACTTTTCATGGAATGTTTTAATATTAAAAAAATACAGAAGTTGTGGCTGTTCTTCAAATTCTTGGGGGCAAAAAAACCCCAATTATCTATTTGTTTTGGGGTAATAACTTGTAGTGTGTCATTAGCAAGAAAACCTTTAGCTTTAAAGCTTAATCCATGCATTTTTTTTTAACTGGGTTCTTCTTTACAGCTCTTAAATTATGGAAGGTTCWTGCTCACCTTTGACTACTTTTTAAAAACGTGTTTATCTAGTGTATTGTAGTGGACATACTTAATACTCGGGGATTCTCATCAACCAGAGTATCTCAGTAAAACTTCTGTAGGTCTGCTACTTAGTCTTGGGTAAAATCTAGTCTAGTATAGTCTCTTCAGGGTTTTAACCAGAATTTCTGATTTATGAATGCAGAACCTAAGTTATATATAGTTTCCAGGTATAAAAATACATTCCTTAAGTTTCATAAGTTTCATATTTAGTGAACCTGCTGTTAGTTGTCTGATTCTTAATTTAAAGTGACATGAAGTAGTAGTGCAGCAGTGGTGGAGGGGAGGAAGTTTGGACAGCTGAGAGATCAGTGAAGAGGCATTTATTTTTGCTGAACTGGGATATCCAGAAATAGGTGCGTGCTGTTCTTCAGCTACACTGTGTGTTCAGCTCCGATTACTTGTAGCTATTTGAATCATGCGGACTTCTTTCTGTCAAACAGGAACTATCCGCATCAAGGACRCTGTTTTGGTCACTATTTGGCCAATGTGCAAGAACATAAGAAACCTTCAAAACACTTTTTTTTTTTTTCTCCCTCCTTCCCTTAAACAGAGCGTTTGCTGAAGATGACCTTGGAGGAGAGACGCAAAGAGTATTCAAGGCAGTATGTCCCACTGAAAGATATTCCAACGTGGATGGAAGACATAAAAAGCAAGAATGAAAGTGATGGTAAGTAAAGCGGGGGATCTTTTTAAATGGAAACCATGCTGTTTTTTCTTAGCTGGAAGTTACTTCTAAGAGACCAGAGGCTTAGAATCCCTACTGCTAGTAATGATGTGAGTTTTATGTGGGGACGGAAGTGCTTCAGGGAGGGGAATAATTCTTAAAGCTCTACTGGTGTCCATTAATTCCACAAGTATCACCAAATAGTCCTTATATTTGTAAAATAACARTTCTCTTCATCAGTTTTATTTGCAGATTCTTTGACTACCTAAAGAGCGTTGTCTTCAAACCTAGACTAAACTAGAACAATGATATGGAGAATGAGTGAAATATTGTTATTCTCCCTGTCTGAAAAGTAGAGAAAGTGTGCAAGCTGTGGAGCTTTATGCAAATCCAGGGAAAGAGATTTAAAGGCTCTGTTGAAAACAACATTTCTTACTTTTGGTTCTTGGATTGTGGAACATCAGCATGGCCTGGGTAATTCCACTTCTTAGTTTGTGAAGCATTAGGGTTCCCATCACCTGTAGACTTGTCCAAATAGTTGGTGAGTGATGGGCAAAAATGTCAATTTAGCTTTCTGACTTGCATTAAAAAAAAAAAAAAAAAAGACTCTGTGGCTTAATCAGTAATTCTAACAACAGTGTGGGGGGGAAAAAAAAACACGCTTTGTTCTTCTAATTCTCCTTTGTCCACGTACATGTGGAAGAGGAGGAATTCTGATCTGGTCTCCTTCTGCTTTTTGTATCTTGTTATCTTACTTGGCCAAAGTTTGTTATGGGAATGTTACTGCCAAGTCTAAAGTGTCCTCAGGTGCTGCTCTTCCTACTTGTGCAGATATAGGACTAGTTCTTCAACACTTGTTATCATTAGAGGTGAATGCTCACCAATAAGAACAGATGTGTAGAGTAATCTTGTGGCTCTGAGAGAACATGGTGTTTCTCGTGACTATTTTCCACAAAGATGTAGGCTGGAACTAATCAACTGTTTTTGATAAAACAGGAAGGCTTTAACAGGTTTTCTTCAGTGCAACCTGGAAGAGCTAACAGGCTTGCCAGTACCAGTGTCATAGGTATATAATTGTCATCTATTTCTAGAAAAGTCTTGAGTGATTCTTTTGAAAGTGAAAATGCATATGAGATGATACTGAGCTCTTCGGTGCTGTTTAAGAGAAATAGCTGTATCACACCAGTAGCTGTAGACCTTTACAGTAGGTCTGGAATCTTGGACATCAACAACTTTGTCCAGCTAGAAAAAAGTTGCATAAAAATGTTACCTCAGAAGATTACCTGGCTTTTCCAACTTTATTTAGGACGTCTTTGATGCATGGAATATTCAGCCTGTCAGTCTGTCCTTTGTATCCTAAAATGTGTTTTTTCTTTTCAAGTAAGTACTCTAGAATTGTGTAACGTGCTAAACTTCGCAGAGCTGACTCTACTTGGGCCGCTGAGTGTGACAAGGTGTGGATTTACGTTGCGATTACAGCTATACCTCTCATAAACAAAATGTCAATGTCTAATATAAGGGTGCAGAATCATGCTGGTGGTGGATTTACCTTACTGCATTCTTTCTCTTAGTATGGAATACACTGTGAAAAGGCTGGAAGGCAGAAGCAGTGATGAAGCACTATATACATATATATATTTCCCCTCCTGAATATAGTCTATAATAAAAATTTTAAGCGTCAGAGAAGTCACTTATTTTCTTTTATATATTTACTCAAAATGAACCCTGTAGAACAGTACATGCAGGAGATTAGACTGCTGAAGTGCTATTAGTCAGTGTAATTAAAAAAGCTGTGTATTAATATGATTGCATCTATGTCAAAATTTGTTTCCCTTAAATGTTGACTTTGTTCTGACAGTATCAAGTGTTCAAGAACTGTTCTGAATAGAAATATGGAGAGATTAATGTTTGGGTCCACTTGCTAAAGAGAACTTTTGCTCCAGATACTGGGACATATGGAGAGCAAACAGTACAGTGTAAAGACGACTGTAGAGAGAACAAGTAAAACCCTTATGATAAAGTCTGTGGTGGCTTGAAGATGTCATGTCCAAGTTCTGCTGTTTTCTTTCCAGTGAAAGGCTATTTCTCTCAGCAACACACTACGGTGGTCTGAAGAGGGGAAGGGAGGGGGTATTAATACACTTGAAAAGCCAAGAAAGCAACTGCTGAGGAGTGGGAGAAGTTCCGTACCATTTACTACTTGCACTGTATGCTGTGAATGAATGACAGATTGATTAGCAGAGTGTTCAGAAAGAGTGATGAGGTGAATTGAAGGAAGGAACTGAGGACAAATAAACTGAAATAGGTGTGATCAATCACCTACTAGAAGCCAGATGTTGTAGGAAAAGGAAGTATCCGGTGCCAATAGATATACTAAACTCACTGGGAATGAAATATGTACAGTATTATATACATTTGGGGACAAATTTTGGATTTTTTTTCTGACTGAAAGTAAGAAAATTCATTGGATGGGCAGAACAGTCCAGTGGTCTTGTGTGGTACCAGTTGATAAATCTGAATGATAGTGGAGTGTGCTATGGGATTCTAGGTAGGCACACCTTTGTGTTATCTAGAAACTTAACAGATGAATATTAGAAGTTTTGGGTTGGAACTGCTGAAACTGAACTAGTTTAAAGCTTTCATGTTTTAAATTATATGAAAGGAATGAATTTGACTTCCAGAGTCTACATGTGCTTTACTGAGAAGTTTCGGCAATGCACCTTATTTTGAGGAGAGCAGCATTTCCTCCTCATACCCATTGGCAAGAATTGATGATCAGAATTAAAACGTGAAGACTGCCAGTAAGTTCTGAAGTGTGCTGGCTTTGCCCAGTGCAATAGGCTTTTGCAGGGCTGGAAACCTTTCTAGTCGAAGGCTGTGTAGCATTCCTGGCCACCCCCAGCAAGTGTGTCTGCAAATGGTTGCAGTTGAAAGCAGCTATGTATAGTTTTGTCTTGGTCTACTCTGTGATGAAAAACAAAAGCTGCAATATTAGCAGGTCCCCTTAAAGGCTGGTGAGTCTTGATTAGTCACAAGAAATTAGTTGTGTATTTTGGCATGGATGTTCGCCAATATTTGTGATGCTTTTTCACTGGAGGGAGATGGGGGCCAAACCAGGGCCTGATCAGCAGCCTGATCGTGCTGTTCTGAACTGGCATGTGCATTTTTGGCTTTTGGATGCACAGTTTTGCTAAGCTGGACAGGTGACCCGCGGAGGTTGAGTATTGCAGTGCTGTCTGTTTTCCTTCCACTGCTGTTATTGTCAAGTTGTCCTTCTCCACCTCATGGAGGGAATGATAGGAAGGGAAGCAACTTGTTGAGGTAGTTCTGTAAGTGCAGAAGCTGTGTTTTGTTTTAGTCGCGTTTCTTAGAGAAATGACAAATTATGTGTATTGGAAACTAAGAATGACTCTGTCACAGAGGCTAGGTAGTTTGCATGTAATGTAATCCATCATTCCTCCAATTTCTCATCCTTCATGAATAGCAAACCCAGATCAGCTGTTGTATTGTGCGCATTGAAGTAGCGCTCCTTCCTGGCAACTAAGAAGTTTATTTTCTGAAGTGCTGAAATTTATACGCCTTTATTTCAATGATACTTGCTAGAATAACACTTGGTGGTAGATATTTGTCCTGAGCAGCAGTGTTGATTTGTTTTTGTGGTGCTCAGTGAATAAAAAGCCACAATATAGAGGAGAAACTACTGTGTGTGACTATGTTTTGTTTTTTAAGTTTTTTTTTTTCATGAAGAAACGATTACTCTTCAGTGGAAAACTTTGGGAGATTATTTAAAAACTTTCAAGGAAAAGTTTTATTAAAAGCAGGATCTTGGGAATTTTTGCTGCTGAGTTTGTGCATCATGGGTAGAAAAATGCTTCAAAAGAATGAGATCTGTTATATAATTTAATTCAGATATCTGTCAGTCCTTCGCTATCACAGCCTGGGAGATTCATTGGAGTGTTCATTTGTGTAGGAGCCTTGCCAAGAGAAATGGTACTTTTGGGTGATAAAGAGGTTTGCTAATAGTGAGAACTGCTTTTGATTAGACGATTAAAAGGAAGGCTATAATAACCCCAGAGGAGTGAGGGTAGCGTGTATGTCTTTAATATTATTTTTTTATGAAATGATGTTAAAAGTTGGGGTCTGTATGTTAAGTGGGTCTTGAAATATGTTTAGATCTCTTGGCTGTCTCTGGATTTTTCCTAATCTATATTTTTAGAAAATGATATGATTCAAACAGTATTCAAATGAATCCATTTTAACACTGAGGGGTTTTGTGTGTAGTAGTAAGATTTGGATGTAATAAAAATATCTTGGCACTTTTAAGCTGTAGCTTTCCAAATAGTGAATTGACCCAAGGTTATAGAGACATGTGTCTGGATAAGTATCCTGGGGATACTTATAATTGCAAAGAAATTGTTTAGTAATACTGAGCTCCATTGGCCAGTGCTTGTTGATGATTAACCACCCGTAGGTAATACTGGCTGTTTCGGAGCTGTTTATGATGTGACTGTYCTGCAGTAACTGGGAGTTAAGTTGATTATTGTAAGTAAGTCTGCCAGAAAATATTGCCTCTGCTAAGCTGTGGTGAAATGCAACCAGTAACCTGAAGATGAGAAATCTCATCCTGTCTAAATCACTGATTATCTTTAGTAGTTGATTAAAAATGAGAACAAACTGTTAGAGCATTAAGATTTGCCTGAACATCAGTGCGAGTTCTCCTTCTAACAGTCACAGCAGTGTCAGTGCAGCTCACTTGCAGATCCCCCTGCCCATCAGCTTGTGTTGTTGCCTTTCCTTCTTCGAGTTTCTTGAACAACTCTCTGCAGAACAGGCTTGCACCTGAGTGACAAGGATGGAGGTAAACGGAGGCATCTTAGCTCAGTGTGGGGCTTGCTGCTGTGTCAGTCGAAAGGCAATTGTGGTCCAGCTGCTGAAAGTCTTTGGTTAAGTCAGTAATTCAGGAGTTCTTCAGTTGAGTCTATATAAGAAATTGAAGCAACTTA